TTTATAATTACATATTATGTAATAAATTGTAATATATTAATAACCATACGATACAAAAAATTAGTAGGTAACCTGCCTATAATAATTTATAGAATATATCTGTAAACTGTAGAAAAGTAGAAGTCTATGATTGCGATTAAATATGTTATATGTCTCTTTATAGTTATGACTTTTTGAGCAATGTCTCAATGAGCATCTTGGACATCTTGGTTCGTGCTTTTAAGTCACGAATAAAATTATTAAATTAATCAATTATTTACGGAGCAGCATTTGCGTTCTGGTTGGTCACACTGATATTTTTTGTATTTATATACGTATAGAATAATTTAATATTATACACATATACTTATTATTTTATCTATTGTTGCCCCAGAAGAAAACACCGACGTCATTGATAAATGATAAGCCGACTAGAAAAATCCTTATGCACAATTTGAAGTTGGACTTCGAACTAAAAATTAACTAATACTAATATTAATTGTGCAAACGTGTAAAATAAAACCGTGTAAATCGTATATCTACTTTAGTCTGTTGTATTCAGTTATCCAAGGATGAGTACTCTCACAGTGGGTAAGTGCATTTACTGGTTTAAAAATTGCATTATGTTTAATTCAGGTCAAAACACAAGAACTAATGGTTTATTAACAAACATTAATATCCATATATTTAACATATTAAAATGAATAGTTAAATTATTATGTATGTTGTTTTTATTAAATAATTTAAATTTCTATTTGCAATCGTTTCTAATAGTGTATTGACTAATATAAATAACTAATGTATTAGACATCTGTTTGAATCACCTAAAAAGAAGCTAATGATTTACTAAAATGTACTTTATTTATTACTTTTTTGATGATTTATTATCATAAAAATAATTTATCTAAAAACAATCGCATAATATTATTGGTATTTACTATTTAATTTGTGGTTCAATTTTATAACAATATGTATTTACGTTAGTAAGTTTTTTGTGATAAAGAAATACATTAAATGACCAATGTTATTAAATATTTACAACTTGCTTCAATTTATTTATAATTATGTTGAGTATAAACAAATATGAATTGTTATATCATCTATTATGACTATACACATTAAAAATAATTGTTGATAATTAATTTTTACTGTTTTGTGTTTAAAAAATTATTTAGGCACTTTATTTAATAAAAATCATATAGATATGTCTTGAACTTAAATATTATTATAATTTTCTATTTAAATAAAAACAATGGTTTATTTTAAATTCCAGTAATTTTTTTATTGAAATATTTTTTGAGTTAATAAAAAAAGATAAAAAATGATTATACATTAATACCCACCTAATTAATTTAATATTTAATTATAAGATATTGAAAATACTTATTGTAGTCTTAGTGAAAATAGGTACTATCATTATCACTAAGTTCTAGTAAAGATAAATCAGGAATACTTTAAAATAATAGTTAAAATAAGTATTATTTGAGCAATCAGAGAAATTCTTTTTTTTCTTTTTTTTTTATTAAGGCATTCCTAGCTAGAGTAGCTATCTAAGCCTATTTATAATATACATACAATTTTCTTGCTTACATAAGTGCGATATGAAATACTAAATATTAATTATTAATTAAGTTAAAAACTAGAATTTAGAGAAATTCTAAAATTATTTATTAGAAAGTAATACTTAGTTTTAATGTTATTAACTTTATTATAAAAATATGTATTTAATAATAAATAAAATTACACATACAAACTTGGTTATGGACATAAAATTATGATAACTGAGAAGTCCCTAATAATTATATATTTATTTGAATTATTTTGAGTTAAAAATAAAGCAATACCTGTTTATTTACCTATTAATTATAACCTATGGAGTATTAATATAGTATAAAAATAATTTTTTTTTAAATGTTTTGTTCTAATTTTTAATGTGAACTAAGGAATTTAAATACATTTTCTTCACTTGTGTAAGGTATGATTCTGATAGCAACTATTAGTATTTTATCAAATACATAAACTATGATAAAATGAAACAAATCTAAAAAAAATATGAGTGATTCATGATTTATTTTTAGTGCATGTTAATCTTATGAGTGAACAATAATTAAACATATCAAAAATTATGACAGATTAATATTTTAAGTACAAATCTATAACTACAGCAGTCAGCAGAAAGTTTAGATAAGTGTATGTCTAGTGCTGTTCTCCTTAATTTATTTTTTAAGTGCTGTTAAATAATAAAAATGGTAAAAAGTTAATGTTTAGTCATCACTCATTCGAACAATTAAACTCTCAAAAAGTCAAAAATTTAATACGGTTTTAATTTTAACTATTCGCCTATCCGCGTGTTCGTAATATGTTATTAATTCTATTTTCATTGAAAAGCGGAACTCGTAAACTTAATTCTTTTAACTTGACTTTAACAGAAAAAAAATTTGAATCAAAATTATTATTAAATAAGATCAAACATTTTTACACAAATTCATACTTTTCAATGATTTAAAAAATTTAATTTTTGTTTTATTTATTACGTTTCATTTTTTAGCAAGTTCTTTTAAAAAAAGGATAACACAGAAACACTTATAAAACATATTATAATCCTAGCAAACTGAGTAACTTCTCCCAATAATTAACATGATTGATTTTGAGTACTTAAATATTTTATTTATTGTTTATTTTTTGCCTTCGGGATTCTGTAATTCGTAACCTACCCAAAAAAACACAGACGCATAAAGTATTTTTTTTAATGATCACATAAATCCATATTTTAGAAATTACTATCCAGTACCTATTTTTTTGTGGAAGTTAGTTATACTTTTATTAGATCTTTAAATTTTTAGTAATTTAGAGAATTTTGATTACGTACCTATAACCAGTGATTATAATATAATACTACTTATTTTAAGAACCGATAGGTATAACCATTTAATATGTCCTTATAATATTGTAATAATACTCGCAATATGTTTATATAATTATAATTTATATTAATCGTATAAATCATATTGGTTTTAATTTTGTATAAATTAAATTGTTACATTTATTAACCTAATACATTTTGAATAGCTGTTTGAAATAATATGAAACCATTTTCAATATAATATATAAAAATCAAATTGATTTATATTTAATAATCTTAATTAGATATTTAATTGAAACTTCTTAATTTAATGAAAGTATGTTTTATATTTATCTGTAGTTACATAATTATTCAATATTAGTTATTAAAATATATTAATTATAAATAGATTTATGTAGACAAACAATCATCTTTTATCTGGTGTGATATTAATGTTAGTAGTGATAAATTTCAACAGCTTGAACTATATTTTTTTTAGTCATAACTTCTGTAAGGATCACGATTATTGATTAGATTATAGATTTTATTATCTTTTATTGTGATTAATATATAATATAATAAATAAAAAATAAAACATATAGTAAAACGTAAAACTATCAAATTATTAAAAAAAAAAAATATAAGACTTGTACTTATTTTGATTTTTAGTAGAGAAGCTATTATCTAAAATAATTATTGTCCAGAAATTCGATTTCATGGATAAATTAATTGGGTTTAGAATTCACTATCTTGGCCATGTTACTCAATAATTATTTCTCTTGGATATTGTCTTAACTTAAGAAGTACAAAAATCTTTTTATTTACCTACATTTTTTAAATAATTATAATAATTTTAACAGTTAAAAAAGTATTTCAAAAAACACCGATGAGATTTCAATAATACATTTTGTACTGTAAAACTACTTTTTAACGCAGTTTCGTTTGTTTTTCTCGGAGATGATTTATCGACGAAAACACAAGCTAAATTCGTTTTGCACGAATCTTATACTTGAAAAAATGTATACTATATAATTATATTCTATGGTTATCGACTATAAATTGGTATTTTTTTGGTTTATACTCGATTGCGCGAGTATATGGTACATATCTAAACTAGGCTTGCCAGATTTTAAAATCACCAAACCGGGATATCATATTAAAATAACTTTTTTTTTTTTTTTAGTATGTTAGTATAATTATATGGAAATAATAAACAGATAACATAATACGATAATCATGTAATAATGTAATGATATTATGTACAATATTATTCCATGTTTCGATATTAAATAATATAATGTTAAAGTTATTTTTGCTCGGCTTCCATTAACCGGGACAAAATTAATGACCGGCCGGGACACCGGGAAATGTTAAAACCGAGACTGTTCAGGTCAAACCTGGACGAATGGCAAGCCTAATCTAAACTATCGAATTATCAACATAATATTATATCAAAAATAATGTATTAAAATTATTTTACCAATCATCAATTTTGTTTTGATCGTGTACTTTTTACCGTACTGATAAACATAATTTAGAAAAAAAATGACGGTATTTACTATTTAGTCATTATAGCGCGCGTTTCGGTACAAACAATAACAAAACAGTTATGATAATATCATGTTGTTATCGCCTTTTATTATTGGGTTCAACCGCAAACGGCGTAGACTAAAATATAGTATTTAGTAAATACTCAAAATATTGTGTAGGTATAATGGATCAATAATTATTAATTATTCGATTTGAAAACATCTTAGTCGTGTCGTCATACATCGATATAATATTATTATGTGCTTGCGTGTTACCTCCTCCTAATCGATAAACGTGTAGGTATCTGGTATATTAGGTTTCACGGTTCCTACCCGACGTGTGACCCGACGAAAACAACTCGGACGATAATATTATTATGACGTGCGCACGACAAAAACGTTGAACCCACACGGATCCTGATGAACGATTTTGTTTACGTACGGTATTTCGTGGATTTCGGTTGGCAATAATGTCGTGTTATTAAAGTGGTTTTTTTCATCGGGCGACGTGAAAAATAACGCGTTCGATTGAGAGGGGATGATGATTCCGAGCACAAGCCGTACACGCCGTGCTAACGCGGGTGCCGGAGCGGAGTGATACGGAGCGAGAAAGAGAGAGAATAAAAAACAAAAATGCGAACAACGCCGCGCGGAGATGACTGCCGCCACTGCCGAACCGGTCTTCTCCGCGATAGTCTCTTGCCACAGTGCGCAGCCGGTGACGTGCCCACGTCGAACGTCGCGTGTCGTGTTTTCGCGTTTTCCGCGCCTCCTCCCTTCGCGCCCGACCGCTGCTGCAGAGTGCAGACACTAGCTGGACTACTTTCGTTCCTCGAGCGTCGCGCGCCAGCAATCCGACGACGACGGCGGCCGGTTGTTCCGTGTTTCGTTGCCGTCCGGAAAATGCGCGACGTCCACCGTCGTATCCGCCGCCGTTGGACGTAACCTAACCAATCCGACGGGATGGCCCGCGACGCAATCGTGCACGACGTCGACCTGCCGTCGTTGGAGTACGACGACGAGGAGACCGCTTACATGGCCACGGAGACGCCTAGTTTCGACGCGGACGACGCGACGCTGGGCAGCACGTTCGTCATCGTCGACGAGGACACCGTCTCCGACCCGGACGACGGGATCGGCGAAGAGGACGACGTTTCGCCGCTGGTGCATCGGCCGGCCACAGTCGCGGCCGCGGATTCGCGGTCGCCGTCCGCGGCCGGCGGCAAGGTCAAGTTCTTGGACAAGATCAAAGAGCACAAGAGCTACCAGAAGCTTTATGAGCGGTGATCGTAGGAAGTCGTGCTTCGGGGTTAGCCTCCCCACCCCTCATATCTCGGTTATCAACGCTGCGCGCAAGACACACGGTCGTCGTAGCCCCGTCACGTACTCGCTCGCATTCCATTTTTCCGCGCGTGCCGACGAATAATCGTCAATAATAATAATTATTATCGCGTTGTTTCCACTCGTGGCGCTATGACACCACCGCGACATACGAGGCCAGTGGCGTAGCCAAGGTGTGGGGTTTTGGGTGTTGTAACCCCCTCACCCAATTGATTATTTTGATATTTTTAATTCTTCAGTAAATCTGCGTTCGAAACACGAAGACTGTGGTCTGTGGACTATGGTAAATGAAATGTAGTTCAAATACTTTCACATTACACACAAAATAATTCTATAATTACTTATAATGCATATATTTTGAATGATCTTTCTTTTTTTTTTTTGGCGCTTTCTGTGTTTTGGCTCGCTACAATTTTCGACAAAAAGTCTATCCCTGGTACAAACCTTGACCACGTTCAAAAGTTCTGGCTACGCCACTGTATGTGGCTTTCTCCGAGTTTTCGTTGTTGTTTAAGTAACACACTTAAAATCTGTAAGACAGTAAGTCTCGACTGTGTACCGTGTCAACGGACGAAACTGCGTATATAATACTATATATACAACAGCCGCGGAGAACTGTTATTTGGTGTTTTGGTGGGGGTCGGTATGATATTGAAGGTGCTAGACGTTTTTTGTTCACTGAAATCGAATTAAAATTTTTTAATTTTATTTGATAACGTCGATTTTATAAGACATTACTTTAACTAAAACAACTTATCTTCGTAGCTCTATTTGCGAAATTGATAATAATTAATTTCAACAGGCAAGTAAACGAATGATAAACGATAGTTACACGTAACACTATTCGAGTATTTCGGATTCGTATAACAACAACGATAATCGATAATATTACAGTAAATTGTGCTGCATGCGTGATTATAATATATGCGTTCGGTCACTCGGGCAAAATCTTCAGATTAAAATTAATTTTTAATTTTCTTTATGTAGTGAAGAAACTATTTCGTATAATCATATTAATATATTGAAGTATTGAACTTTCTAAAGAATAATTTTTCCATATCTGTGAAATTATTTTAATCATGCCAATAATTTGAGTGTACTTTGAGTTTTGATAATTATGTGTGCGTTAAAATGATAGATTATTAAACGTCATATCAGTAGTTCGGATTTCGTTTACAATTATTTCTTATGATTGGGAAGAGTATCATCAAGTAATTTACAAAATATACAACTAAGACATTCGTTCCTACATTAATTACTGTCAGTAATATTGTAATAAAAAATAATCATAATTGGAAATAATTAATCATGCTTTTAAATTTTTATTTCTTTATGGGCATTGAACAGTATTTTATACATATTTCATATTATTGTAACATTTACACACTGATATAGTACCTAGTTTATATGCAAAGTCTGAAACGAATATAATTTATTGCCGTTAATAATTGCATAAATAATTTTATAAAAATTTAATATGTATAGTTAAATCTCGTGATCATAAAATGTATTCTTTTTATCATTGTTCCAACAAATAACGTAGTTATATATTTTTACTAACTATTCTATGTAAATTAATTTTATGTTTAAGTTACCGAAGTAGTTAAACCTCCTGGTTAAAAATATAAAGTATTATTATTTTATGCTTAAATTTTAGACGTTCAATTTCTATATTGCAACATGTGCGTTATTACTTACGATTTAATTATATATCCTGTATCTACTCTTATATTTAGTATATAATATAATGTTATATATTATATATGTATTTATTTTAAAATTAAAATAATATTTCTATTTTATGTTCAATCATAATAACAATAAATTTATATTGAATCTAATATTCTAATCTATTCTATTGTTTTAGTCACACTGTTTGTTTGTATACAAATAAATGTAAATTAAAACTTAATTGTAAGTGTACCTTGGCTTACATTGTTCTCACATACTTTGTAATGTTATGATATTTTTTATGATCGAATTATGATGATCTGACTTAAATAACGTACACTATTTTCGAATTCAGTTACGCATGTTTATTAGTTATTTATATATCCAGTTTTTACTTCGGTAATTATTATTTATAACACAAGTCGATAATTAACGCTTGATCAGATTGAATAATTTGCTGTTATTTTTGAAATAATTTTTTATTTAAGTTTAATATGTTTTTCGTGTCTTTAGATATTTTACCCTTCAAGTATATTGTTTTATCGTTAGTATGATCAGCTTTTAATTTTCATACGCGTATAGTAATCGTTGCATGTATTTTTTAAACTAACCTAGTTTTTGAATGAATTTTAACTATTGAAAAGCTCGAAAGCCTGTAGTATATAGGTATTAGGGCACATACATACATGTATAATTTACGTGATTTGCAGCCCCAATAACTATATTCCCAATTGCTCAAATATGTATCGTACTATCGTCTATACATCGTATTACCCGCGTTTCTTTCTTTTTTTTTATCTTTATATAATGTAATTTTTTATTCGATCAATACATTTCGCGTATTGCAGTAATGACAGGTTAGTTGATCATTATAGTTTGTGAATATGTGTTAACTTCAAACTAGTGTCGGTAAAAAAATAGTATTGATTTTATTTATTACCTATAATATTATTAATCGCAATGTATTATTCAAATAATTCAGGTAAAATTGAAAACTTGACACTCGTATTTACAAATTACATACACGGATATTACAGTTACTTATTTGCCGTTATGTCTACAGTAATTTATTGTTTTAATTTTTGTTTAATTTTTTGTCGATTTAATACGCTGTTTTGTGTAACGTCGTGTTTGGAAATCATTTAAACCATTGTAAATATTTACGTGCTCAGTAATCTAACCACCAATAGGCAATAACAATATAGTAATAATGCATGCATTTTGGTTACGGCTATCGTGTACTAGTTATTTGCTCCTTACTCGTGTATTTTCATGATGCATGCATTGATGTATTTATTCTAATGCCGACGTTTCGGATCCGTTGTGGGTTTCAAAGAAATTTTTCATCATATTAAGTTATTCGTTGATTTGTACCTTGTAATATCTTAAAAAATTAAAAAATAAACAAAAATAATATTAATGTATGAATGAATGTATGCGTTCTATATAATGTCGCGTACGGCATACTGTATTATCTTATATAGTATATAGTATGGTTAAAATTAATTATGATTATTGTAATATTACACGTAGCTACATAGACATTAATTTTATGAATTAGCTATATTCACGAGTAGGTACCTGATCTCAAGTTATTGAAACCCGTAAATATGATTTGCTTGGTGTCATTTAAAAATTTAAGTTATATCATGAAATGTTTACACATTGTGTACAATTAAGTATTACTTGGATTTGTGTAGGTTTTGTTTTGTCTCATTCACTATAAATCATAATATAATTAATATTATTAATTATTTACGTGTTTATTGTACCTCCTAACTAGCTTATTGTTCACGAATTATTTACTGTTGGTGAGACAATGTTATTGTGATAATGTTGTTTAAAATTATTTTTTCATGTTTTAGGTGAAGAACCACCAGTAATCATGTCGCCAGATTCAGGAATTAATGAATTACAAGGTCTTAGCCTTGAAGAACAGGAAAAGCAGAAAGAAGAATGGCAACAAGAGCTGAACAAGGTGGAAGAAGAAATTAAGACGTTACGTGAAGTGTTGGGTTCAAAGGTGAAAGCATCTCAAGAGCTTAGGCGTAAGCTTGGTTATACTGTTTGGCAAGAGATAAGTGAAGATGTATCACAGAGCTTACGAAATGTTAAAGAGTCAAATGTGTAAGTTCAGTAATGAATATTTTCCATCACACGTGCTGAAGTTTTTTTTTTATTTTGCTAGCTTTCAGTTTATTATTCTTATGATTTTATCCATTTTTCTATTATTATAAATATATGTTTTTTTTTTTTATTTTATTATTATTATTTTATATTTTTATATAGTTATCAAAATGTAGAAGACAAATTTAGCCAAATTGGAAAAGCTGTTGTTGACGCACCAATGTAAGTCTTCTGTACAAAGACAAGCATTTTCAAATTCCTAACGTTTATTTTATGTATCAGTGTTTTATTAACTGCCAAAATGAAAGATATCTTCAACACAGCTTCTAAATTAGTGCGATTAAAATTTGATTATTAATATAATTTAACTGTTAAAATAAAGCATCTATTAAATTTTTAGTTCATTTACATTACAGTACAAATTAGGTACTTAATCTTGCTTTTATAATTTTTGATAAAATACTATATCATAAATTATAATGAATAGTATGTTACAGTTTTAAAATTTCATATTATTTTTATTTTTCTTAAATTTAATAAATACTTTGTAACTATTGAAATCATACTTCAATAGTTTGTAGCAATGACATTGTTATTTGAAAGTATATGTAATTCATTATTGTAGTCATAAATCCTATACATTTATATTTAAAAATGTTATAACCAGACTTTTGAATCGCACTAATTAATTTTAGTTAACAATATTAAACTAAATTTGTATATTGTAATAATACATGATTTGGCAATGACAATATTGTATTTTCTTTACTAGATTCAACTTTTCTTTACCAGATTCAGACGACATGCGCACCCCAACCAGGAACATGGTTCTAAAACACTGGTATATAAAATCTACGTGTACATTCATGCATGTACTCTTGAGTTCTTTAGAAAAAAACATATTATGCTTTGTTTCAGTTCATTATTGAGTTGCTTGTAAATGTTTCTTATTTGCACTTTTGCTTTATCTTCTAATTAGTTATTTCTATTTTTGTAAAAACACTTAGTTATCAAAATGTAGAAGGCAGGGTTAAGCAGTTTGGAACAGCAGTCGCCGAAACGCCAATGTAAGTCTTAGCCTTATATTTGTAATGCATGAACACACAATATGATTTAGAATGTTATTTGTTTGAGTTTTGTATTTTGTTCTATGTTCAATCGTTAGATTTTATCTATATTTTTTTGTATGCATTAGATATTTAAAAATTACTTATTTTTCAATATTCAAGCCTTAAATTTAAAAATGATAAAACTAAAAATATGCCAATTATAGTATGTCTTTATTTTATGATTGTTCAAATCTTTCATAATAAAATCAGATTGTTTCAAATTTATTATTTCAGTGTGTGATATTGTCACCAAAACCTAACATTTCTATTTGGATTTTCAAGTTTTTCTAAATGTTTTTTTTTTTTTTACTTTAGGTTTATTTATTTTGTTTAATTGATTCTAAATTTCCAAACATTATTGTGTGTGTCAGACTTCTTAACTAATGCTTTAAGTGTTCTTTTTTAACCATCAAGATTTTCTCTAATATGCTAACTTCAATGACTTATAAACTATTTTTAGTAATTAATAATTACTAATGAAATGGTATGTAGCTTAACCCTTTGTCAATAGCCATTATAAATATTTTGAAATTATTGTGTTGTTATTAGCTATCAAAAAACCGAATCGGTTGTAAAAACAACTGCTGAGAAAGCTACTACAATATTTGGAGGATTTGGCAGTGGTCTTACAACCAAACTTGGTCAAATCAAGAATTCTGAATCATTCCGTTCTTTTGAAGAAAAAGTGGGTTCAGCTTTGGAAAATGTTAAGGTAATAATTATTATTAACAATATAAAGTACTATCAACTAAAATATATTAAATTATTGTATGTATTTATTTTTAGACAAAAGTGGCATCTAGATCTAACTCTATGCAGAACTTTGATGAGATATTGGAGGAAGAAACTCGTTTGGCAAATGAAGAAAAACGTTCACGAGAAGAACGTGAGGCAGCAACAAAATAAGTTTTTGTTATCATAAGTCATCTCTCTTGTACTTTGACATTTATCATAATTGTGCAATCTTGGTCACTTAAGTACAGATTTACCTTAAACTAGGCACTAAAAATTCAATTTCTCACAAATATTTTTCTCCTGAATTTAGTGTTGAATAAAATGTTTTTTATTATTATATTAAACATTTTATTCCATAATGTTTATCTTTGATTTGTGATTTTTAATAGTTATTAATCTTATTTATATAAATATAATATATATATATATATATTTATTTTTTTTGTAAAAAATAAACTTATGAGCGCTTTAATTCTGAAATATTAATTATATTTGTGCCTATACAACGATATTGTACACCATACACTTATTTTAAAAATATTCCAATTATTGTAATTAAATTAGATATTTTTTAGTTAAGTATTTATACAAATTAAACTATATTAATTATTATGTATTCAAAAGAGCATTTATCTATTTAATGGTTAATAACTACTAACTAGGTAAATTATAAAATCTCAGACAATTTAAAAAAAGATATTAATAATAATAAAAACAATTTTTTAACCTATGTTGGTTTAGACAAGTGTTTGATATCAATATTAATTCTTATAAGTTATAGTTTAAACCTTAAATATTATTCTACTTTAGACATACAAATATTTTTAATTAGTGTTTTTCAAATATTTAAGAATTAGGATCTAGTATAAATTTATAGTGTATAATCATGTCATATATGCCTTACAAAGGTTTGATGTCAATAACAGATGCATTTTTGTTATTGATTCCCAAACTGTCAAAAGAGTAAATATTGACACCTGCTAAGAATGCTTTTTTAAATTATTTTTTTTGTGAACACATTAACAAATATTCCACTAAAGATAATTTAATAGATCTCTCAGAATTTACACTTTAAGACTAAGGTTACTTTACTCTCAAACAATTGACCATGATAACAAGTACTGGAAGAGAAAGCAAGTATAATAGCATCTTGCAACCTTTTACAAAAGTGTTTTTCCACCTCAAACTCATTAGTATGTATTCTTGAAATTAAATGTTATAAGACAAGGGGCAAAAGTATTTTTAAAAAGAAAAATAAGTAAACTTTGGTTAAAATCCTAACCAAACTTTCTTATTACCCACATAGTTCTGAACCAGCCAAATCTAAATAAAAAATCAATACTCTAAAAACTAACACCAATGTTGAGGATTTCTTTAAAAAAAAAAATACATAATCTTAATAAATAATATGTATATTTTATAACTCAAAAAAAATTAAATTGATATTAATTTACTCAAAAAAAAAAAAAAAAAAAATGATTCATAGGTAGTTCACTCTTATTACACAAATAAATTAATGGATTTAAAATAATGCTGTAATACTTTGTAAAAATAAATATTGTATAAAACACATTTATAGATATCGTAATACACACTATTTTAGGGGTTGTTTAAAATAAACTGAAATACAATAAATTTAATCTTTTGAACAAAAACAAAACAATTAACCTTTAAAAACTTATCGTTAGCCACGACTTTCCACCACTCTTCTCAACCGTAAAGGTCTTGTTGTTGCTGTTGCCTTTTGTTGTTATTAAAATTTAGTTGACTTGATCTGCTTCTGATGTAATAATAATTTAAAGGTAATATAATATGATTTTTTTTAAGCCATTTATAAACAAGTCAGGGATAGGTGCAGAGACGAATTTAAGGCATTGCATACTATCTGGGCACACAAGGTGGCAACATTGTGTTGAATATTTATTTTATGTAATAAAATTAAATAATTTGGTAGGCATTCGTGCAGTATACCTACTACATACCAAAAAAGTTTACAAGTAAACTTTACTGTACCTATTTTATTAAATACAATTTTTCAAACTAAAACTTACTTAGGTAATATACTGCTGTTAAGTGATTATCATCATTGTCAACTATTTTATAATATTGTATAATAAAATATTGTCATACATCATTACTCATTATATATTATTTTTTACATCATCCCAGAAAACCAAATGAATTGAAATGAATATCTTGATAATAATAAATAATAATTCATAAATTAATAACAAATTTAACAGTGATATGTTATTAATATTTAACTATTTACATAATAATCATTAGGTCGGTTAAGATTAATAATTTATTTAATTTTTGTATAACTTGTTTTTTTTTTTAAATATTAACTTTTTTCTGGTAGGATTATTTATAAATCCTGCGACCTGCACACGAAAACAGGTTCAATAGATGCTGAAGAACAAACTGGTGTTGAATAATTGAAAGTTTTTTTTTATAGTATGAAAATTATTTAGTATTTTTAAAGATTTATTTTAATCATTAAAAAAGTAACCACATTCCAATTCAGCTTTTTTTATGATTTTATTGATTAATAGTTGCGATGAAAAACGATACATTTTTTTCATTTTCATCACTAGAATGTATTAAATTATTACTTATATAATTTTTAAAACTATTTACCTACTACGTCATGAAATAATTAAGTGTACATGGAAGATTATTTTAGAATTTACCCAATGTGCTGTAACTCCCATAAATGATTATCGAGTGAAATTATTGACCGAATATCAGCTGTTCCACATAAATTAAGTATTAGGTTAGATAAGAAACTTTTTAACTTTTCGCAAAAAATCTGTAATTTTCTAAAAGGCGATGGACTTAAATTTTTTCTTGAAAATATTGTTTCAATATTATCATAATTGTTGATGTATTAATGTACCTACGTATAATAATCTTTTAAAAACCTTTTGATATTGAACTATTTAAACGTGAAATTTTAAAATACAATTTTTGTCAATTTATTGATACGTAGGTACTCAATTGTAGCCATGTTGATAGTCAAGTTATCGACATTCAAAATATTAAAACTATTTCAATAAAAATATGATTTATATTTATGTATACAGATGAGTTTGGGATTAGGTTAGATTATACATTTTTTTTTTTTTTTATAATCCGACGTATAAACACAAACAATGTTTTAATTTTTAAATCTGATAAGAAGCTATTCGTTTCAGTATTATGGTTATAACACAAATTAGTTATCTGCGTTGGATGTTTGCGAGATGGAGACAAATGACAATGGATGCATGTGTTTATCAAGAAAATAAACTACAAATCAAAAACTAGGCAGAATAAATTTAAAATTTCATTAAAGTATTTGAGTATTTATAAATATAACGTATATTTATTTGTATAAAATATTTTAAATTCATAATGTGTATGGTTTACAATGAAAGTATATAAAGCTACGTATATTATTTCATAGGCTGTAGCAGAATATATCAGTACATGGTAACATAATATGCACAAAAAATTATATATTATAAAATAAATAAGAAGTTGTGAACAATATATACATGCAAGAAAAATACACTGATTCTGGAAAATATAGTATTCAATCCTAAAACGGTCTCTATATCATAGAATTATTGGTCAAAAATAATTTATTATAATTTTAACCGTAATCCCATATTAGTTATGGAAACAGATGTACATTTATTAATTTAATACCTAGTACTTATTTGCCTGGTGTAGCGGTTGAAGTAATCTTTTATTTTAGTTTTTTTCAATAAGTATAATGAAGTGGGTATTGAAAAATTCACATCTGTTTTCCGAGGACACCACACATGCAAGCACGGCCCCTGCGCCACGTAACTATAAATATCTATCTTCTTCCAAGTACCTATTGAGTTATTTACCTTTTATGTTGTTTTTTTCACCATTAAGAGGGCGTCAACAACCTCCCGAAATGGCAGGACACCTTTCACACGTATCCGGTGAACGGTTAACTTCAAAAGTGTCGACAGAAATCAGCGGCCAATTTATGTCACGGAAAAGGTACTCCCGTTGAATCGGGCCGTCGTCGTGTGGAATGAGTCCTAACCGTAATACATGTTGCTGTCGGACATCGCGATGGCGGTGACGGGTTGATTGAAGTGCTCGTTCATGGCGGTAACGGGCTGGCCAAACGACGACTGGCACACGGCGCATTCGCAAGGTCTGTCGCCGGCGTACTGAGGTATCCTATGGACGTCCGGGCCCGCGGCGTACTGAGATCTGTTTCTGCTGACGTCGGACGCGTACGCGTGTCCGAACGACTTGTCTACTGTGTGGTGTGCGGCCTTGTGGGCAATGAGACCCGACGATTGCGTGAACGATTTACTGCACTCGTCGCAGTTATATGGCTTTTCACCCGTGTGCGTCCGGTTGTGTGTGTTCAACGTCGACTGGCTGGCGAACGACTTGGGACAAATGCCGCATTTGAACGGTTTGTCTCGGGGAGGCGCGGGCGGGCGCTTGTTCGCCTCGGCCCCGGCCCCGTCGCCCGAATGATGGTTCCTCTTGTGCAGCACCAGCACGTACGATTGGGTGAACGACTGACAGCAAATGTCGCACACGAACGGCCGTTCGCCCGTGTGCGTCCTCCGGTGACGGACCATGTCGTTGCGCTTGACGAACGCTTTCTGACAGAAATCGCACTTGTGCGGCTTCTCGCCGGTATGAGCGCGCCGCTTGTGCGTCTTCATGCTGCTCAGCAACGCGAAAGTCATGTGGCACACGTCACAGGTGTACGGCTTTTCGCCAGTATGCGTGCGCCGGTGCGTTGTCAACGTCCCCAGTTGCAAAAACGTCTTCTGACATATGTCGCACTCGAACAGCTTCTCGCCGGTGTGCACCTTCTGGTGTTCCTTCAGATTGCACGAGTCGATGAACGACTTTTCGCACGTGTCACATTTGAATGGCTTCTCCCGGGTGTGTGTTCTCCGGTGTACTTTCAGTTTGTACGAGTCGTTGAACGGCCGTTGGCAAATATCGCATTCCAGTCGTTGACGTTCGCCACGTTTCTTTTTCTGTTTGACTACGTCATCGCTTTTTATCGTGGACGTCTTTTTCACTTTCACTGTGCTAGACCTGTGCACTTCCCTGATGTGTTTCAATAATAGAAAGCTTTCGTCATAAGCTTCTTTGCACTTGGCGCACTTGAACTTTTGCGGCAACATGTTTATGTCAATTTTCTCATTTTGGTTGTTGGGCACGGTTTGAGTGGGATAGTGGGCCACTACGTTTTGTATGGGTGGCTCTTCGATGGGCAGTTCATTTGTGACAAGAGATATATCAGGCTCGCTAGGATACCAGCCTGACCAATTGTCAGTGTAGTCATCTGCCTCCGATGTGTTTGGTAATTCGTATTGATCAGTTGTCCTTGGTTGAGCTATTGGTTCAGTCGTTGGACGTTCGATTGAGTTAATTGGCTGATGATGGTTCCAATGTGTTCGCTTATGAACTATTAAACTAGAAGATTGAGTGTATGCTTTGGGACAAAGATCACATTGGTAAGGTTTCTCTCCAGTATGAGTGCGTCGGTGAGATACTAGTATTGATGAATAAGCGAATGCTTTCGGACAATAGTCACACTGAAATGGTTTTTCACCTGTGTGTATTCGTTTATGCCTGGCTAGTACTGACAAACCCGTGAAAGTCTTATTACAAATTTCACATTGAAATTGATCTTGTCCATTATGTTTGGCTGTATGTCTAGTCATTCCATTTACACTAGCAAACGACTTAAAACAAATATGACATTTAAAAGGCTTATCAGCGTTATTCGTTCGCTTTTCTTTAATTCCGTTTGCAAATGGTTTCGTCCATTCCGGTACACCATCATGTGTACCCTTGTGACGATCTAAACTAGCTTTTTTGGCAAATGCTTTTTGGCAGACTTCACATACATATGGTTTGTAACCAGAGTGTAATATTTTATGTTTCCGTAAACTATTAGCAAGTGTGAACAATTTGTGGCAAATGTCGCATTTATATGGCCTTTCTTGAGTGTGAGTTTTCTTGTGATCTGACAAATTTGAAGAATGAGCAAATGTCTTTTGACATAAATTACAATGAAATGGTTTTACACCAGTGTGAATTCTTTTATGTATATTTAGCTTTGATTTTTGAGCAAATGCTTTTGGACATAAATCACATTTGAATGGCCTTTCTCCTGTATGCATTCTCTTATGCACAATCAAGGTACTAGACAAAGAAAATGATTTTTGACATATATGGCATTTAAATGGTTTTTCACGGGTATGTGTTCGTTGGTGTTCAATCAATTTATGTCTGGATGAATAAGGGAAAGTCTTATGGCATACATCACAATCTAACCACCGACCTTCAGGTCTTTTGATGGGTATAACATTATTGTCCAATGAAATACTTACACTATTTATTGTATTCATACTATCAATATTTTCTCTCCCATTATAAACAGGTTGCATAAATGGTACGGAAAGTTCATTAGTACTTTGAATTGGATCTTTAGTGTTATTAGGATCCGTTTCACTTTGAAACCAATTTGACCAACTGTAACTAAAATCTCCAACTGATTGTGTAGGAACACTAGTGTCCCATAGACCTGTTGTAGACGTTGTAGGTATTTCTGAAAAAATATTTTTCTGCATAGTGTTTTGAGTATTTGAAATCTGTTGTACATTTAGAACATGTAGAGGCATATGAGGTATTTCTCCTGTATGAGTTCGTTTGTGTGCTATTAAACTAGCTGAATTAGTAAATGATCGTTCGCATGTATCACATGCAAATGGTCTTTCACCCGTGTGGTTTCTTTTATGAATGATCAAGCCAGATGACTGTGTAAAAGATTTATCACACAAGTCACAATGAAATGGTTTGACACCTGTATGGGTTCGCAAATGCCGCTCCAAGTCACCACTCTTTACAAATGCTTTTGAACAAAAAATACATTTGTGAGGTTTATCACCTGTATGTGTTCTTTTGTGTGCATTTAAACTACTTGATAAAGAAAACATTTTTTGACATATATCACATTTATATGGCTGTTCACCAGTATGTGTACGTGTGTGTGCCACTAACGTTCCAGATGTAGCAAAACATTTTTGACAAAATTTACATTTAAATGGTTTTTCTCCCGAATGAGTTCTTTTATGGTTTATTAAAATATGAGAATGAGAAAAGGCTTTTTGACAAATATCACAGCTATAAGGTTTTATGCCAGTATGAGTTTTTTCATGATTTTTCAAACTGTAAGAATTAGAAAAACCTCTATGACAAGTTTCACAACGAAATGGTTTCACACCACTATGTGTTTGAATATGTTGAATCAATTTTGTCTTGTTTGTAAAAGATTTTGAACAAAGTTCACATTGGTGATGTTTAAACTGAAAATAAGATTCATTTTTTGATAAACCTGGTAATTTCTTAATAATAGGAACTACTTTATCAGTATCTACACATTTTCCCGCACAATTTGATAATTTCAGATGTTTCTCTATTTGTATTCGTTTGTAGAACACAGCCTTACATTTATAACATATATATTTTACTGGAAAATTAGTTTCTACTTCAGCTTCATCCATTTCAATTTGTTTGGACTTAATTGAATTTAGATACAATTCATTTTCGACCACTGTTGTTTTTGCAAGGAGTTCAGTCATTTTGTTTGTAAGTAGTATTTATTTTGACCACCAAATTGATCCTCTTCATTCAAATAGCTAAAACAATAAAACAATAACTATAAAATATTGATATTTAATTATTTTAATTGATATACCATGTTTGATAAAATTATATTACCATCAGATTTTAAAATCTATGCTAATAGAGCATCACATTAGATAACTAAATAAATAGTATTTAAAAAAATCTAGGTGTGCGCATAAGAATATCAGGGTGTGCTTCAGCTGCCTTTGACTGCTCCGGTTACATTAAGAAGCTCAATTAAGGCCACTGAATAATACTTCATAAAATTGCAGTGATGAGGTAAAATTTTAATTTCATAACTTTCTCCAAAGAAAGTAAAGCCGATATAAAAAATTGAAAACTTATGAAAACATCAACTAATTCACCATCAAAAGCAATAATTTAAATAAAAAATTGATTGTCTGCAAGCAAATAAAATTTATCCTCAGGTCATGATTTTGCAACCCCTGATATAAAATAAGTAAATAGTATAATATACTATACTAATAGAAATAAAAATATGAAATAAAATATAATATTATTATTATATTATTATTTATTCATTATTAATTGTAATGGGTATGAACTACTCATTTTATATTTAACATAATAATATAGAACTTATAATAAGTACTTTTTTTGGGGCATTACTGCATTAGTAGAAGAAAATATGTTGATAAAATGTCTATACCATATCACCTAAAACCCTAAGTACATCATGTATTTAAAATTTTAATAAAGTTGGAAATCAATCTATATTATTAATATATTTTATTTTAATCGAAAAAATTATATAAAAAACAAACAAGTAATATTAACCTAAGTTACCTAACAATATTTTTATTAAGTTACTTATTCTAAATGAATAATAAATATTATATTAAAATCTGTACCAACATGAATTAAAAAAAAAAAAAAAAAACTAGAAGAGGGATGCAAAATTATAAAATATTTTGCATACCTAAAGATTAAAATATCTTATTGATTAGGATATAATTATTAAGGGTTCATTAAAATATTTTTAAATCAAGCACCAACTATAATAACAAATTTTATGAAAAATATGTAAAATTAATAATTAAAGATGGTTTGATTTAATCATCACTTAAATAAATTTTGATTTAAAATATACCAACCGATAAAACAAATATAATATAAAAAAAAAAATGTAATTGTGTAAATAAGAAATTGCATCAAAATTTAAAATTAAATGTGTATGATTTATGTTTTATAAGTAATTATTAAGTATCCATCATTTTAATATAATTGTAGGTGTATTTACATTAGTAAAGGTAATAAATTAATTCATGATAATTAAATTATCATAAAATTTTAAACTTTTTAAGCATTTTTTTTTTTTTTTTTCATAAAGTAGTATTTTTACATCAAGCAATAAACATATCAATAATTTGAATTAATTTTAGTATTAATTTCAGAAGTACAGGTAAGAATACAATTTGATAAATTTAATATTATAACAGATTAGAACTGTAGTTAAGTATAATTAAGATATTATGATGATTATAATAAGAAATTATTAAAAATATTTACTTGTATCTGATAGCTGATTGATTTCACTGGAAAAACAATCTAATACTGTGGATGACAATATCGGTGGCCAAAAATAAGCATTGAGCACTATTAAACATTTTATTATTATTTTTGTTTAGAAAAAAATAAACAAACAAAACAAAATCATTATTTTGTCGATAATTAATCAATAAGTGTTTTTGTAAAATATTAAAACAAAAACAAAAAATTGTTATTTACAATATTACACCTTATCAACAGTTTATTATCATTAGATAAATACTGATAGTAGCCAAAATTGAACGGTCATAACAAACGCGGTGAATGGTATCACTTGGTACATAAGCATATTTTAAAATATTATTGACATAGATAATATAAGATCATATTATCTATTATTTATGACCATTGACCGGAAATAAACAGTTAAAATATTTGTCATGGGCTAGTGTATGCAGCATGCAGTCGTTTCAACTTTCGTTCTCTAGTCTATACCAAAAGTTGAGTTGTCGGACGTTTCGTCTCCGTCATTTATACAATGGGACATTTGTTCCCCGGAAGTTATTAATAAAAGACATTTGGTCCCCAGGAGTTATAAGCCACAGGACGTTTAGTCCCCAGCGTATTTTGATTTAAGCCTAAACTCTATACTCTAATACTCTAATACTCTATAGGACGTTTTTATATTGACAATAAACACATTTATTTTCAATCGACAATTTTATTTAACGTTCAAGTAATAATAAAATAAATAATAGTACACATTAAAAAAAAAAAAAAAATGAAATTTTTTGATAATTAAATAATATACATTTAATTGGGCGATTCACATTTCACTCAATGTAAAATACTCAATAGTTTTTATTTTTCGTAATTTTATTACAGATAAGGAAATTTAATTTGTTTGAGATATCGATAGTTTCGATTATTCGAGGTTAGAGTTAGGTTTAGCCGTTTAGGTACCGATAGAATCGATCGAGTTACGATGAAGCTACGCTTCATATTCATCGTTCGATATCGTTGCCTACACAATAATTTCAGTCACCCGTGAGTAACATTTTGCGTACATTTTTTGAAGTATTATCTCAAAGGTTAAAACGAGTTGATTAAAATTTAAAACTCATTGTTTTTTGACTCATTTAAAATACCAAGCATACAAATGTAATGCAAATAAAACTCTTTAAACGGCAATTAGTGTGCGGAAATAATTTGATGATCGCATACCTAGTAGTTAGTCATTTATAATAATTTAAATTTTCCATAAATGTTTCAAAACTGCGTTTAGGTACGTTTGTTGTAGATCGATGATTAATATCCGATCAGTGCGTTTGCAACGTAAGTACATAAAAACTAAACAATAGACAATGTCGATTATCGACACATATTAGTTATTAAGTACATACATAATATACCTACTATAACGATTTACGATAGAGTTAACGCAATAGTATTCTACTGTATTCGTGTAATTAGTGTACCTGTGCGAAGTGCGAGCAGGCGAATCTATGCGCGGGAACAATGCTACAAATAAGTAGGTATAGGTACACAATAGTCAATAATAATATCTTGTGACTTGACGCGATCGTAAACAGTTTTTAAAATTGTTTATATTCTTGTCGTTAATTCTTTCGAAACTCAATATTTTCAATACATAAAATAGCGATGCACAGCCAAGGCCATCGCACTCGTGGCTTTAAAATCGAATTCACAGATAATCCGACACGCGAGGACGTGCAACTCGAAGCCAGAGATGGATTTTTCATTATAGGCACTGTAGGCAGCTGCCTAGAGCGGCAAATGTTGTAGTGTCTTAATAAAAACCATCAAACTTATAACAAAAAAAAAAAAAAAAAATTAAAAATTAATTACTTTATATTTACGAAAAATGATTAATTATGTGTGTATTTATTTTATATTTTTCTATAACATAATATATGGTATACGGTTGTGGCAATAACTTGTTCAGTTGTTCACGGGGCGGCAAATTTTTGGTGCCTATAGCCGTAAAAAAGATAAATCCACCTCTGCTCGAAGCTATTATTTTAAAGCCGGGTTCGTACGGGGATTTGTTGGCTTACAAAGAACGAACGTTTTTTTTTTTGCTTACTTATAACTCGGGTTGCCATTGGTTACGCAAAACTGAGCAGTAGACTATAATAGTTTATTATATAATTTATTATTTAATATTTGATCAAAACCACTGGAATGACTGTAAAAATATACACGTCGTATTCGTTTGACGGAGTTTGAGACGGTGTAAATCCACTGGCGTTATTTAATATTATTGTCACGGGCGACGCCGCGTGGCCGCGTGGGATAGGCTATAATTATAGTACAAAGTAGATCTTACACTTAGACCTATGTTATACATTATAATTATTGTAATTAATATTACATACTATAGGTAATTAAAATATAGTAATAATAATAATTATAATTACGAAATCCATCTGTGCTTTAACGGATTCTGCAGCCTGCAGAACACACGACACACACACGCAGTGGCTTATTTTTTAATTTTTCTGAGGGGTCTACAGTTAATACGTAATTATTAATATAAACTATGATAGTTCATAACAGTTTTTCTGTACGCATTATTAAACCTAACAAACACGACGGCTATACCTATATATATATATATATATACGATTGTACAACATCAGCAGGACTATTCCACATTTTCACTCGTTCTATGAGTAGAATAAAATATTATAGACATGACCACATAGACGCCAAACGCATTTACATATTTACACCATAATATTTTCGTAGAGTCTTCGTGTTTATTATGCATGATGAAATAAACGCTAAATACTTTGTTATTCAAAGTTCGCGACTACATGAAAAAATATTATGTATACCTACATCACACTCGAGCCTTGACATATTAATGTTAAATAATTAAAATATAATCGTAATTTTCTCGTATTATGCAAACTTAGAAACTTAACGTCCGTGTTTTTATATTATTAATACAATATTTATAATATATAGAATTTTAGCTCAAACAATTGCAATTTAGGGCCATAAGGGCATGGTGTGGCGTAGTGTTTGGACGCAGTCACTGAATGGTGCTAATGACCATAAGTTGCCAAAGCATATTAAAGTTAAAAAAAGTTGTAATATAACATTAATACAATATAGATTAAATTTCAAAATCAATATTTATCTTTCGACGAAATGCAGATAGAAGATCTATATTAAAAGGCCTTACAACAACAATAATTTTGATTTTCTCTATTACCCACATTCTAGATATCTACTCTAATAGTATAGGACATGGGTTATAAAAAGAATATTTTTTGCTCTAAAAAGAATTAAAACTATTTGCGAAACGCTACCGCTGAAGATAGACTAATCGGTTGAGCGTGCTTAGTGTACCTATACATAGAAATATTCATGTCGGTCTTGAGGAAGTAATCAATCGTTCTTATACAAAAAAAAAAAAAAATAGAAATTTAGAGTTTGTACTATAAAATTGAATTTTATTTTATATTATTATGTATTATGCGTATTCAAATAATAATTTTATTAACAAACCTTATACACTTATATACGGGTGCTTAATATATACATGTTTGTTTGTTTTTTTTTAATTAAACTTTGTTATATGTAGTACAATTAGTTTCAACAATTATTTAAGATATATTATGTTTAATCATTACTATAATAATAAGCGTCGTTTATGATTTGTTCGTTATTTTATAGACATCAATTACTGAGATTTGTATAACCCCCCCGAAAACCGTTTCTGGATAGGTATATGTCCTTGAACGATATTAATTATTATATTATGTATATATACACAGAAGTGCTGGTGAACCGGCAGAAGACACCGCGACAACCCACCGACGGTCGCGGAACCATTTTGGGCGGGCCACGCGGGTTTCGGGTGCCCCTCGTCAGCTGCTTCGGATCTCGATCACGGCTTTCGCTTCTTCGACGGTCTGCTGGTGACGGCGAAACTGCCGTACGGCCCGTTGCTGAAACTGCCCTGGAAACCGAGCGCGGACTTGCTGGACGCGTTGATCTCGAAACCGATGGGCCTGCATCCGTTTTGGGTCGCGTACTTGATGTTGATGGCGAACTTGACCGGCGCCCCGTTCTTCTTGCCCAGCTGTTCGCGCGTCCACTTCTCGAACTCGTCCCAGCGGTTCAGCAGGCTGCTCTGCGCGTTGATCTTCCTGTTGACGCTCCGGTGCTGCGGCACCAGGTTCCACGCCGATCGGGCCGAACACGGACGCCACCACGTGGCCCTGTTCGTCGTCAGACTCTCTGTCCAGCTCGGCCATGCGCCTCTTCCACTTGTCGCCGAGAATTCGTCCTGGTCGACGACAGCGCGTACAGCTCGCCCTTCACGCCGGTGGTCACCGTCGCGGAGTTGCCATTCTTGCACGTCACCCTCGACTCGAACACTTCGATCTGGTTCTTGCCGAGCAGCGTGTACTTGGTGGACGCCTCGGCGTCCCGCACGACCGCTGATCCGACGACCAACAGCAGCGCGGCGCGAACGTCACGCGCAGCGCACCTGCACCGCCGTTATCGCCTCGTCTGCACGTCATGATGTCCGGCCACGCGCGTGTCGTGGTAATATTATATGCAAATGTGCAATAAAAATCAAGGATGTAGAGGTAATTCGAAAGTTCGAAGCGTACGAAGTTCTTGCGGCCGCGGAGACGCGTTTGTCGGCGAAAACGACTCGATACAGGTGCGATGTACGAGAGAGACTCGACTTCGTTCAGAACGATATTTCGACTCGCCAAGTGTCGTCGACGGCACTGTGCAGGAGACGCTAGGTATGTGCGATTCTCGCGTAACACGGCCGTATTTATATCGCGTAGTTATAATATGGTGGTATAGTGACGACGGGAGCAGCGCGGCACACTATCGGAAAACTACTATCGAATACACCGATATTCGATAGTGTACGACGTTACGGGTATACATCACGACGATCGTTTTAAAGTTCACGTGCCAAACATCGGTATAGTTGGCGTGCGAATCACGTAATAACATCCGCCGTCTATTATTATTTATTGTTTTCGACTTTCGTTGTGGTTTTTCCCCCGGTGTATTCGAATGAAATGCAATGTTTAACGACTGGAAATCCGTCGCCAATACGCAATATGCAATATTAGTATGCAAGCAGTACATCGACTGATGTTAATAAATAATCAACA